GAAACCATTTTGACTTCAGTCCCGGAGGTGAAGGGTGGTAAAAGTTCAGAAAAACCCGGGGTTTTGTTTTGTACATACTTATGGCAAAAACAGAAAATTGTTTTAAGAGGGAACGGGGTTTACAACCCTGCCCGGGGCCAAAATTTAATGGGTTATGATGGATGGGGGGGGCCAGTGGGTTTTCCATCAGCATCAACTTGGTTGTTTCCAAAAGGGGAACCACTGGGAAGTCTGGGCCCCCGGGTGGGCTGTCGAGTGGAAAGATTCTTGAAACGGATTCAGGTATATCATAAATCACGAATGGGGCACTCACATGGTGTGAGATGGTTGGGTAGTAAAAAATATATAGGTTTATTTTCTAATTTATCTTTTTAAAAAAACGGCATTTTCCCCCCTGTTATCATTGTTTGCCATAAAGATTTTTTTTTATTTTTTTTAAAAAACAGCCAAATTTCCCGCTGAGGGAGGCCACCTGAAAAAGAAGAAAAAACTATTAAAGTTTTTTTCCCTTTTTTTAAAATATAGCTTACTTTTTTTTTTTAAAACCCATCAGGGTTTGTTCCCCCATCAAGGCAGGTGACCCAAAAAAAAAAAATCCCCCCCCAAAAAAAAAATCTTTCCCCCTTATCATACAAAAGTCACTGTCATTGCAGAGGCGCTCAGGTACAAAAATTTTTTTTGAAGTCCCTCCAAACTGCCCAAAATCAAAAACCCCTCCTTCAAATGCAGCCTTTTTTACTTTTTTCCCTTTCTAAAGGAAATTTAAGTCCCCCTTACCAGTTTCCCCCGAAACCCTTTTACACCCAACGCTTCCCCCCAAATTCCCCCAAAACCCCCTTTTTCCCCCCCTTCACCAAACCTTTCTAACATGCTCAATTTCATGGGGTTGGGGGGGGGGGGGGGGAAGTTTCCCAAACCCCTTGCCCACAAAACCTCCTTTTCCCCCTCCCTCCAACCTTTTCGAGGATGACCCCTACCCCACCTTCCTTTCCCTACAGATTTATACGCTCTCCAAGTCATTCTACTTTGATCCATTCTCTGTAAATGACCAAACCACCTCAGAAACCCCTTTTCAGCCCTCTGACTAATACTTTTAGTAACTCCACACCTCCTCCTAATTTCCACACTCCAAATTCTCTGCATAATATTTACACCACACATTGTTCTTAGACAGGACTTATCCACTGCCTCCAGCTGCCTCCTCACTGCATCATTTGCAACCCAAGCTTCACACCCATGTAAGAGTCTTGGTACCACTATACTTTCATACATTACCTTCTTTGCCTCCATGGATAACATTTTTTGTCTCCATAGATACTTCAATGCACCACTCACCTTTTTTTCCTTCATCAGTTCAATGGTTAACCTCATCTTTCATAAACCCATCCGCTGACAAGTCAACTCCCAAATACAGTGGACCCCCGCCTTACGATATTAATCCGTTCCTGAGAGCTCATCATAAGCCGAAATTATCATTAGCCAAATTAATTTTCCCCATAAGAAATAATGGAAATCAAATTAATCTGTTCCTGACACCCCAAAGTATGAAAAATTTTTTTTTTACCACATGAAATGTTAATTTTAATACACACAAACTGAAGAAAACATGCACAATTACTACTCTACCAAGAATAGAATACACGACACTTACCTTTATTGAAGATCTGGTGATGAGTGATAGGATGGGAGGAGGGGAGAGTGTGGAAGTTATTGTTTAGAAGGGGAATCCCCTTCCATTAGGACTTGAGGTAGCAAGTCCTTTTCCGGGGTTACTTCCCTTCTTCTTTTAATGCCACTAGGACCAGCTTGAGAGTCACTGGATCTCTGTTGCACAGCAAATCTGTCCATAGAGCTCTGTACCTCCTGTTCCTTTAAGACCTTCCTAAAATGGGCCGTAACATTGTCATTGTACAGGTTGCCAACACGGCTTGCAGTAGCTGTGTCGGTGATTTTCATCTGTAAAGGTTTGCAGTTCAACCCACTTTGCACACATTTCCTTAATCTCTTTTTTCAGTTTCATACTAATTCTCGCTCTTTTTACCACAGGGATGGCACTAGAAGCTTTCTTGGTGTCCATGGTGACTTATTTCGCAGTTACAAGCACTAAAAACACTGAGATAATGTGAAATGTACCGAATGTATGCGTATATGCGACCACACTGGCTGGCTTGTAAACACTGGCGCTGAGGCCACACGTGGGACATGTCCTGGATGAATCACGTAAGGCGAGTTTTTTATCGTGAGGCGAGGCAAAATTTTTGCATTCAAATGCTTCGTATGGTGGATTTAATGTAATGCGATGCGTTCATAAGGCGGGTGTCTACTGGGAATCTATATTAAGGAAACGTTTTGCCACACAGTGGCTTCATCAGTCTAATACAGTGTAGAAATGGGTTAGGAGAGGAGGAGTTTGAGGTAATCAGTCCCTCAGCCTGGAATCGATGTGTTCAGTCCATCACTCTTGTAGAAAGTGCAGCATATGGCTGGAGATGTTGCTTATATACTGTAGTCAGGTGAGTCGAAGCAGGATGAGGCAGGATCATAGTGGAACCAAACATTAATCTAAGTAGGTCTTTGTCCTACACACCCTAACCTGAGCTTCACTATCCTCATAAAAACTACAGCATTTAATGACTTACTACTTATTCCATACACTTGCAACATCTGCCACATCACATCCCTATCCACTCTATCATTTGCCTTTTCTAAATCCATAAATGCAATGAAAACTTCCCTACCTTTATCTAAATACTGTTCACATATATGCTTCAATGTAAACACTTGATCTACACATCCCCTACCCACTCTAAAGTCAAATATATATTAGTGTTAAGGGGGCTGAAGGGCAAATTTCGTAACTCGTTTATTTACCGTCCGATTTTCTCCAGTTTTGGTGCACAAGACAAAGTGTTCTCACTCTTTCTTGAAAATATTTATAAAAAATATACCTCAAACAACAACTGAGAAAAGACTGATTTACTGAAAATGCCCTTGAGGTTGATGTAACTCTTATATGCGGCTACATAAGGTGGTTTGGACACTTGGTGCCGAGAGAACAATGCTAATACTAATTCGGACCGTAAGATTTCCCTCTAAATACCTTATCGTTATTTCACAAAAAAATAAAGTTTGTTAGTTTCTGGAATATTGCAAAAAAATCTGCCCTTTACTCCCACATAACTCCCGAAGTATTTGGAATATTTTCAAAAACTCAACGGTCAGGATAAGAGAAATCATTATTCTACAATATCTGTGAATATTATTCCATTTAATTAAGTAATAAAGGAGCCACATCGAATTATAGGTGAATAAGTTACTTCCGAGATATCGGCCGGGAACGCCGGCCGGCCCCCGTCTCAAAAAAAAAAAAAAATTTCGCGAAAATCGCGTTTGTTTGGGTGTATTTCTTAGTAAACTGATGTTCTAGTGCAGTTATCCTCTTCAAAACACCGTTTTCTCTTACTCAGAGACGACAGGGTAACAAGTTACACTTTTATATCGAAATATTCCCGATAATCTCTGGGCCATATTATGGTCTATTTTATTCAGTCTAGAGTATATAACATGTTTGTATGTTATTTAGAGTGTTTATTATATCATATTAGATCAATTCTGATAGACAAATAAGCCGTAGAGTTGATATATAAGCTGATATAAGCGTAATAATGGGCGATTCCTGGCTGGCACCTCGAGCGCTGGAACACTGCCGAGCGTTCCCATCTGGTTCCCGGTTGTCTCTAAGTCTCCGGATAAGTCCCGCCTACTGTTTTATGATGCCAAATAGTCAGTTATTATATTAGAAAGAATAATGCAAGAAAAGGCGATAAAAAACAACAAAATAACTCCAAAAAATATATAGGCCGTGAGCAGACTCGGTACCAACATCGCCGTCACCATACCTGATATAAATGACTATAATTTCTTGTAGAAACGTCGTAGAACATTCATTCTGGTACCATTGTGTTGCCAAAGAGTTGAGCTATTTTTCAGTATATATAACTCAATTTCCATATTTCGATTTTTCGGTGAGCGCGCGCGGAAAATTGCCCGCCTGCCCCCTTCATGCTTCATGCTTCATGTTTGAACCTATCAACTCCGACAAAGGAGACACGAGTGTGTATGTGTACTCGGCAGTATGCCGGGCTTCCTGGCATACTCAGTAAACTTACTCCCCTATAATTTTTAGTCTCTTTTGACACACGTCATCTTTGAACAAACAAGCCGTATCCCACCGAGGGAGGGTGCCCCCCCCCCAAAAAAAAAGAAAGTTTCTCTTTTGAAATTTAGTAATTTATACAGTAGAAGGGGTTACTAGCCCCTTGCTCGCGGCATTTTAGTTGCCTCTTACAGCACGCATGGATTACGGAGGAAAAATTCTGTTCCACTTCCCCATGGAGATAAGAGGAAATGAACAAGAACTAGAAAGAAAATAGAAGAAAACCCAGAAGGGTGTGTATATACAGTATATGCTTGTACATGTATGTGTAGTGTGACCTAAGTGTAAGTAGAAGTAGCAAGACGTACCTGAAACCTTGCATGTTCATGAGACAAAAATGGACACCAGCAATCCTACCATCAGGTAAAACAATTACAGGCTTTTGTTTTACACTCACTTGGCAGGACGGTAGTACCTCCCTGGGCGGTTGCTGTCTACCAACCTACTACCTAGTTTTGACATGTGTACAGTATATAATTTAGATACATATTTATATTTCCATGCGGAAAATGGAGAAGAATCCTTCCTCCATAAGCCATGAATGTCGTAAGAGGCAACTAGAATACCAAGAGCAAAGGGCTAGTAACTCCTTCTCTTGTATGAATTGCTAAATTTAAAAAGAAAAACTTTGGTTTTTGTTTTTAGGTCACCCTGCCCCAGTGGAAGACGGCCGTTACGTTAAAAAAAAGTTATTATTTATAATCACAGGTTACTGTAGATGTATTACTTTCACAGACGAGGCACAGTATAATATTTATATTCACAAGGTATATTGTCTTTACAGATGCAAGCAGAGGGAACTATTACATTTAAACTCCTTCCTGCTGGTAGTTCAGCTCATTTACGGGAGAGCAAAGTACGCGTGCGTGCCTACTTTGACTACGATCCTAAAGAGGATAAACACATTCCCTGTAAGGAGGCTGGACTGGCATTCAAGAAACACGATATTCTTCACATTGTTACGCAAGACGATCCTTATTGGTAAATAATGTAACTTTTATTGTATTTGAAAGGGATAAAAAGTGATTTGATTATTTGATAAAAAAAAATTCTGACATTGCAGTAGCTTCTTTTACCATGGCAGACATCTTTAAACCAAATTAGAGTATCCCAAAGAAGGAAACACATTGTAATAATACAGCCTCTTCTCACTTAAACGAATTCATCACTAAGTGAGGAGCATACTAGAAATGGTAGTGGGTTTGTGTCAACCATCTTTGATATTGTTTTAATGTCACCTTTGCACCATTTATAACATTTCTGGTATATTTTTAAATATTTATAAAGTAGTGTACTGTATATTGAAATAAACAGAATAGAGGAAATCAGCTCTAATATACATTAAGTATAAATACTGGTCAGAGAGCCAGTTGTAAGTCCGAGGTGCCGTAAACTAGTACGTTGCTAAGTGAGGAGAGGCTGTAATAATAATCTATTTCTACAAGTACGTGTATAAGCTAAACAGGCCTAGCTGTATAGCTTGTATATAGAAAACCCCTGGTTATGCAGAGTATTTCAGGCAAATTAGGTCAGTTTTGTCTCAGGATGCAACCCACACCAATTGATTAACATCCAGGTAACTATTTTGCTGATAGGTGAACATGGATAGCAGGTGTCTTCAGGAAACACGTCCTAATGTTTCCACCCGTATCAGGGATCAACCCCTAGACCTCGGTGTGTGTGAACCGAGTTTGCTATGGGACATTAACCATCATTTATTCAATTGTTGTCTTGTCAGATGTGTGCACACATCGATATACAGATGACCCTCCAGTTTAATAACACTGGTCTGCATGATTTTTTTAATTGACTCTATGGTATCTTTTTTTGTTATGTATATTGAAAATAGTGATTCATTGTGTTTTTTATTCATCTCTACTACATTAGGTTGTCAAGTTATATGGAAACGTTACTTTTCTCTCTTCATATAACATAAGTAAATGAGAAAGTGGTGTATTACCAATTAAAATGCTTACCTTATATTGACTTAAATGTTAAATCTAATATTTTTTTCTTTATTTTTAGATTATTAATATGTCTAGAGACTGCACAAATTCACCAGACACATTTTGCTGTGTGCGGGCAATTCACCCCTTCAGATTCCTGGAGCAACATTGCTCCTTTTATTGAAGCACTGCTACTGTGCTTATTTTGGCTGCAAACTTGGAGACTAGGACAAACCGTTTGCTCCACACAAAGCTTGCAAGAGTTGCATCAGTAAATTCCAAATGTGGTCAGTTGGAAAACTTAAATGTGTGCCCTTTGGAGACTCAGTGGATGGGAGCAGATGAACCACCATGATGACTGCTACTTTTGTATGACTAAAGTATCTGGACTCAACAAGAAGACTAATGACTGCATAATATACTCAGATATTCCTTCAGCAATAAGGCCTGTTCCACACTGAAGATATTCCTGTACCTGTGCCACCTGAGACATGGCAAATTTCATCAGAGTCTGATGCCAATGATTCTTAGGAGATGGAAGTAGGCTATGAACCACCAACAAATGACGATCCCAAACCCTTTAACCAAGTTGAGCTTAATGACTTGGTGAGAGACCTTAATCTTCCAAAAGAAAGTGCACAGTTACTTGGCTTTAGACTGAAGGAACACAGGCTTCTAGCTCCTGGAACAACATTCGCTTGGTACCGTCATCGTGAAGCGGAATTCACTCAGTTCTTTGACAGAAGAATCTTTAGTTTTCTGTTCAAATATTTCTGGCCTTATTGAACACACAGGGATGTTATACAAAGCAGAAGAATGGAGACTCTACATTCATACTTCTAAAAGAAGTTTGAAGGCTGTACTTCTCTACAATGGCAACACAGCTGCATCTGTGCCAATTGAGCATGGTGTCCAAATGTCAGAAACTTAGGCATATATGAAGACACTAATATCTGCCATCAAGTACCAGAATCATAACTTTCTAATTTGTGGCGATTTAAAAGTTATTACTCTCCTACTAGGTCTTCAAGGCGGATACACCAAGTGTCCCTGTTTTCTGTGTCTTTGGGATAGTAGGGCAGACAGCCAGCACTATGAGCCCGGAAATCACAACGTGAAAACTGTGCCACTAGTTGACCCCAAGAAAATTCTGCTGCCACCAATCCACATCAAATTAGGGCTTAGGAAAAATTTTGTGAAGGCCTTGAACAAGAATGGAACTTTCAAGTACCTGGAGTCAAAGGCAAGCTAAAGGCAGGAATCTTTGTTGGCCCTCAGATTCAGGAATTGATGAAGGACAAGCATTTTGATGAAGCATTAGCAGGTGTCGAGATGAATGCCTAGTTTTCATTCAAGCAGATTGTCCACAACTTTCTGGGAAACAGGAGCTCCCCCGAATATGAAACAATGATCCAAGACCTGATTTCAAGTTTCGAACAACTTGAGTCTAGAATGAGTGTGAATAGGCACTTTTTGTACTCAAATCTTGACTATTTTCCCAACAATTGTTGGAACTACAGTGAGGAACTAGGAGAGCAGTTCCATCAGGATATTTGCACCATGGAAATTTGATACCAGAGCAAATGGAATGTCAGCATGATGGTGGATTTCTGCTTGTCATTGAAACGTAATGTTCTCGATGCACAGCACAAGCAAAAATAAATCTGTCCTCCTTCCTTTGATTCAATATGTCGGCTAACCATTAGGAGCATATTTTTTAATAAAATCACTCAATTTGATTCATGTCGATTTGGTCTTACAGGCATGTGTAATGTCACCATGGTTGTTTAATATATTTATAGATGGGGTTGTAAAAGAAGTAAATGCTAGGGTGTTCGGGAGAAGGGTGGGATTAAATTATGGGGAATTAAATACAAAATGGGAATTGACACAGTTGCTTTTTGCTGATGATACTGTACTTATGGGAAATTCTAAAGAAAAATTGCAAAGGTTAGTGGATGAGTTTGGGAGTGTGTGTAAAGGTAGAAAGTTGAAAGTAAACATAGAAAAAAGTAAGGTGATGAGGGTATCAAATGATTTAGATAAAGAAAAATTGGATATCATATTGGGGGGGGCACGGCAGGCTGCCGTGCCCACCGAGAGGCCTAGCTACAGAGGGCAGCACCTTAGTGCCGTGAAATATGAACTAAGCTGGCAGACAGCATGGGCTGTCTGTGCAGACAGTACAGGCTGTCTACACACGCTCGGCCACCTACCGTGCGTCGTCCCGACGAGACAATACTGGTGGTAAAGGAAACTCGGTCTCTCGTAGGCACAGGGCACAGAACACAAATGCCGGGAGCAATGGGCTAGTAACCCCTTCTCCTGTAGACATTTACTAAAAAAGAGAAGAAGAAAAACTTTATAAAACTGGGATGCTTGAATGTGCGTGGATGTAGTGCGGATGACAAGAAACAGATGAGTGCTGATGTTATGAATGAAAGGAAGTTGGATGTCCTGGCCCTAAGCGAAACAAAGCTGAAGGGGGTAGGGGAGTTTCGGTGGGGGGAAATAAATGGGATTAAATCTGGAGTATCTGAGAGAGTTAGAGCAAAGGAAGGGGTAGCAGTAATGTTGAAGGATCAGTTATGGAAGGAGAAAAGAGAATATGAATGTGTAAATTCAAGAATTATGTGGATTAAAGTAAAGGTTGGATGCGAAAAGTGGGTCATAATAAGCGTGTATGCACCTGGAGAAGAGAGGAATGTAGAGGAGAGAGAGAGATTTTGGGAGATGTTAAGTGAATGTATAGGAGCCTTTGAACCAAGTGAGAGAGTCATTGTGGTAGGGGATCTGAATGCTAAAGTAGGAGAAACTTTTAGAGAGGGTGTGGTAGGTAAGTTTGGGGTGCCAGGTGTAAATGATAATGGGAGCCCTTTGATTGAACTTTGTATAGAAAGGGGTTTAGTTATAGGTAATACATATTTTAAGAAAAAGAGGATAAATAAGTATACAAGATATGATGTAGGGCGAAATGACGTAGTTTGTTGGATTATGTATTGGTAGATAAAAGACTGTCGAGTAGACTTCAGGATGTACATGTTTATAGAGGGGCCACAGATATATCAGATCACTTTCTAGTTGTAGCTACACTGAGAGTAAAAGGTAGATGGGATACAAGGAGAATAGAAGCATCAGGGAAGAGAGAGGTGAAGGTTTATAAACTAAAAGAGGAGGCAGTTAGGGTAAGATATAAACAGCTATTGGAGGATAGAAGGGCTAATGAGAGCATAGGAAATGGGGTCAAAGAGGTATGGGGTAGGTTTAAAAATGTAGTGTTAGAGTGTTCAGCAGAAGTTTGTGGTTACAGGAAAGTGGGTGCGGGAGGGAAGAGGAGCGATTGGTGGAATGATGATGTAAAGAGAGTAGTAAGGGAGAAAAAGTTAGCATATGAGAAGTTTTTACAAAGTAGAAGTGATGCAAGGAGGGAAGAGTATATGGAGAAAAAGAGAGAGGTTAAGAGAGTGGTGAAGCAATGTAAAAAAAGAGCAAATGAGAGAGTGGGTGAGATGTTATCAACAAATTTTGTTGAAAATAAGAAAAAGTTTTGGAGTTAGATTAACAAGTTAAGGAAGCCTAGAGAACAAATGGATTTGTCAGTTAAAAATAGGAGAGGAGAGTTATTAAATGGAGAGTTAGAGGTATTGGGAAGATGGAGGGAATATTTTAAGGAATTGTTAAATGTTGATGAAGATAGGGAAGCTGTGATTTCGTGTATAGGGCAAGGAGGAATAACATCTTGTAGGAGTGAGGAAGAGCCAGTTGTGAGTGTGGGGGAAGTTCGTGAGGCAGTAGGTAAAATGAAACAGGGTAAGTCAGCCGGGATTGATGGGATAAAGATAGAAATGTTAAAAGCAGGTGGGGATATAGTTTTGGAGTGGTTGGTGCAATTATTTAATAAATGTATGGAAGAGGGTAAGGTACCTAGGAATTGGCAGAGAGCATGCATAGTTCCTTTGTATAAAGGCAAAGGGGACAAAAGAGAGTGCAAAAATTATAGGGGGATAAGTCTGTTGAGTATACCTGGTAAAGTGT